ACTGTGTAGCTCTCGCTGTCTTGGAACTCACTCTGTAGACCGGGTTGGTCTTGAACTCACAGAGATCCACCTGCCTCTGCCTTCTAAGCGTTGGGATTAGAGGCATGAATCACCATAGCCAGGCTTCTGCAGCTGTTTGTTGGCATTCGGGAACTTGGAATTCTGAGAAGCATTTCTGTGTTTCTCTCTCTGATGTGGGTGGTTTGCAAAGCTCAGACAACAGACACGATTCACCCAATATCTCCTCCCCCACCCCAGGGAATCTAGAATTCTGCTAAGCCTTAGGCAGGAATGCAAGCATGACCAGCTCCTGCCAGCTTCCATGGAGCTCTGCCTTTCTCTACAGATTTTGTTTCAAGCCATTTTGCCACAATGAATCTATCCTTTAGGCCCCCTGGTAAGTCATTGATTGCTTCTGGGGGCGGCTATCAGGACACAATGTTACATAATTAGTCACCAAGACAATGATCTCCAGCCACTCAGGGGGTCACCACTCACCCTTAAGAACAATTGCAAACATTTCTTGTAGGCTTAGTTTTAGAGGCACGCTAGTGGAAATCCGTAGAATTTTAATGACAACTAAGGAACTATGTATTTTATTCAGGTTGAACACTCAAAGTACATGGGGAGGTGAAAGTGAAAACAGAGGGCAGGGGAAGGAGGATGCTCTCTTTTACCTTACTGTAAGGCCATCCTTCAATTCTCAGTTAATCCATGCCATCCCACAGCAGATTTAACTTTAACTTTGTCTCATTCAGATTTTAGAAAGCATGGTTATTTTCTTTTTTGAAATTAGAATCCCTTCTCTTTCCTCCCGCCAATCTCTTTCCATGTAATCACTGTCACCCTCTCTCAAATACATGACCTCTGTTTCTTCAATTTAAATCTAGAAAACATGTTTTAATTGACCCTTGCATACTGCTTCAACAGATACATGGCATGTGTTTGCCAAATACTTGTTTTCTACAATAGAAAGATAGAAATTAAAAGACTTCAAGTGGAGTGGCCATATATGAGAAATAAAGGTATGTGGGAACCCTTCAGTGTAATGGGAAGTATATGTCATCTCTTAACAAAGAATCACTTGGCTGCTTTTTGGAAATTGCCCCCCCACCCCCGTCCTCTCTTTCTCTCCCCCTCCTGCCTTCCCTCCCCCCAACCCCGCTCTCTTTCTCATCACCATCAAGAGCAGTATAGGAATTGCTGCTATAACTTGCCTATGGAGACATTTGGATGGCTTTTCCCATGGAGGCACTGACAACAGATGAGGGCTTTGTGCCATGCCCACCTGAGGACATGTTAACACATGTCTTTTTACATGTTTGTTAGTATTGCGTGTGGATGCTTGTGCACATGTATGCACATGTGTAGAACCCACAAGTAAACATCCCATGCTCCTCAGGAGCTGTTTGCCTTGTTTTGTGAGACAGGGTCTCTCATTGGTTTGGGGCTCACCAATTTGGCTAGGCTCCCCTGTACCAGGCTTTTTCTTTGGGGCCACCAACCAGCTCCCAAATCATGACACAGACTTATAGTTTCGAATGCTTAGCCTTGCAGGATTCTAGCCAGCTTTTCTAACTTAACCTTTTTCTATTTGTCTACCTTTTGCCTCGGGGCTTCTAAACTTTGCTTACTATCTTGCTATCTGTCTGGCTGATGACTGCCTGGCTTTTGGCTCCAGGTATGTCTCTCATTCTCTCTTTCTGTTGTTTGTTCTCTTCTCTCTCTAGATTTCTCCTCCTATTTATTGTCTGTGCAAGGCAGCTCTGCCTATCCTTTTTCTGCCTAGCTATTGGTCATTCAGCTTTTATTAGATCAATCAGGTGCCTTAGGCAGGCAAGATAAAACAGATGCAACCCATCTTTACATAATTAAACACACATCAGACACAAACAAACATAACACACCTTTACACAGTTAAATTAATATTCTGCAGCATAAGCAAATGTAACATAACTTGCCTGGTTAAAATAATATTCTAGAAGACTCGCCAGGGAGCCTGAGGGATCCCACCATCTTCACCACTGCCTGCCAAATGCTGGGACTACATGTGGGCCACTGTGCCTGTGTTTTCC